ATGAGTTAATCCAACTATATTAAACTCTTCAGATTGATGTACCCAGGGTCAGTCAGGTTAAAGTTGGTCCTTAGACCTTATATTGAGTGCCTGCTTGCACTACAAACTTATGTTAGTCAGATATTCCAGTTTGCAGAAACCACTAATAGGCTGCCAATAGGTAGAAACAGAAGTCTGCTCCAGGCCACCGGCAGAATGAAGCTTAGAAAACAACAACAGAACAGAAGCCATTCACATGTAAGACAACAGTGTTTTTAATATTTAAGTAACAAAATATGCAGGTCACTACACAATGCATATACAATAAGCCAGAGCAAGATAAAAATCACAAAGTACAATCAAACTCTATGGAGGTTTTCAAATAATTAGTTGTTGAACAGAAAATGTGCTTATTGAAAACCCAACTGAGCTCCACATCACTGTTTGAGGGTGGAACAGGGCTCTTTGGTGGTAGAAGGGAGAGTTTATGGTCTATATCTAGATTCCTATGGCCTTCAATTCAAAAGGATGACTCTCAACTCAAAGTTTGAGAACGCTTAACCATCTCTAGGTCCTAGATTTCACAGCCTTCTTCTTTCATTAATTGAATTAATTTATATGTTCATTCCTTACCCTACATCAGATAATGAGCTGTTTGAGTACTCATCGAATTTAGCTAAAATCATTGCTGTCTCAGTGTGAGGGGACTGAGATCATTATTTTGGTCCTTGGTGCACACAGCCCATACTGTCAGAAGGGGCAGCAGGTCTGTCCCCAGCCACAGTCTCTCCATCCAGAAGATCCCTGTTAGTATTCACCCATCTGTTTTGAGGCCCCTTTCCTGGACACTATTTCTGCAAGACTTTTTTTTAGCAAATAAATCCCCAATAGCCATATCCCCCAGGGCCAAAGCAACTTCCTGATTTGGTAACTTTGAGAGACTGCTCTTGTTTATTTTCCTAGGAGACCTATCCAGGTTTGGTCCTGAGATGGGAACCTGGTGGCGTAGGAGAAGGAATTTAGGATTTATGCTCACGAGGGCAGTGATCTAAGTGCCGGAAGAGTCGATGGCTGGATAGAACCTTCCCTTTTGTTTGGGCATTCCACAGTC